ATTGCCATTCATATATATATATAGATATATAGATAAATGTTTACGACAGTCTCTAATGCTCTCTTTCTAAAACTCTTATCATTAGCTAAAATTTATTAAAAATCGCAAATTTTGTATCCTACATCTCATTTAATAGGTTTTTTTTTCCTGATTTAGTGGTAAGATCGATCAAAATTTGTGATTTTTCAACTAAAATGAAAAAGTATTAGCAAGAGAGTGGTAAGAGAGAGTTTCACTAACATTCTCACATACAAGTGTTAGTGCATGCATGCACGTGTATTTCAAACTATTGACTCACCAGCCAAGAAATGAATATTACTACCCCATTGATGAGATAAGCTTTGGATTTTTTCATTCCAGCTACATCAAGATACCTTCACAAACACCACAACATGAACAAAGAAAAATATTATACGACACTATAATTCAACTATAAGAAAAAAGTTACCATCTCAAATTGATCCCTGGAGTTGTTGTCTCAGAGATCAGGACCATGAACGTGTAAAGCTGTCCTTCCCCACTCAACATTGAATATGCTACTGCTACTAAAGAAAACAGATGATGAATCACCTGAACCAATGTTAATACGAAGTCAGGTTAAATCCCGACCATAATCATCTCCAGCTGGGTTCCTATCAAGTGAAATATCTTAAAATTGATTAAGAGAGTTCAACTTCACAAGACAGGTTGGCTTAAACTAAGCAAGTTAAAAGATATTTCCCTTACATACTCATATCCACCAAGCGAAGGAAAAAACCACAATATCATCCCTAGATCAGCAATGAAGTAACCAACAGAAACCTGTCACAATAAATATCAACAAAACAAAGTGATGCAGGTTACAAAATGGTTGTTGAATCAGGACAATGAAGATGATAACAATTCCAAAGTTGATTTGAATCATATAATTAAAGAAAAAAATAGAATGAATTCCTGAAAAAGGAAATACAAGCCAAATTTGAACAGCAAGAAAATCTGAAGAGCTACTAAATCGAAATGTGACTCACACATTTGTCAATCACAAAACAGACTATGGAATCTCTTAAATCTAGTCTGCATAACAATTCAGAAAGAAAAACTCAAAAGGTTTCTTATACAAGAACAAGCTCAACAAATTATTAAAGTCCCATTATATCCCAACCATCCAATATTACAAAACAATGTGATGTGATTTACGAGACACATAAGACACATAACATCTAAAGACCACAGAATTTTCAATCAATATAAATAGTTTCTTATAGATACTAGTTCAGAAACGCATTGGAAACACATTTATTGTAGAAATTGCCTCTCATAGTATCAATATGATACTGAATAGAGCCCCAGCAGGGTACAATTCTCAAGACAGTAGCCTTCCAGGCAATTGAGAAACCTGGACCTCTGCCCCACCATTGAGTCCCCAAAATACAATACACCATGCTATAGGACTTTGTTTGAGATTGTATAGGGCTTTGTGCAATCTACAAACAAAGCCATGAGAAAGTCACCATTAAAGAAAACATTTTTGATGTCCAATTGATAAAGGGGCCAATTACGCAAAACTGACATAGATAAGAAAAAATGGAGCAAGGCCATCTTGGCAACCGCAGAAAAAGTGTCACCATAATCCAAGTCAAAATTCTGAGTATAGTCTTTAGCTACAAGACGAGCTGTCCCAAAGGAGATGGAGCAAGAGACCATGTCTGGTTAGATCCAGAGTCGTCATCTGATTCGAACCCAATTCTCATATTAGCGATTAAAAAAGAAAACAGCTCAGTAATGGAAAATAGGGTCCGTAATGTATCTGAAGTGAAACTGGAATTACAGTGGAATGAATATCCTACTGCCACAGAGCTACGCTCCTGCAGAGAAACCAAGCTCTTTGTCCATAACAAACCATTTGATTCTATCAGATGCTCTTTCTCTCATAGAATCCCATCACACAATTCTCACACCCGTTCATTTACTGTGACATCAACATTCTCACTTTGGACCCTCCTATTCTTTCTATCACATAATGGGCTACATAATGGTTGGGGCAGTTGAGGACTTCAGGTGCAAACTGCCCATTTGGACCCAAATTCATCTCTGAGGTCCTAACATTGCCATTCTCTTATAAAGAAGACTTGTCCTCAAGTTTGATAGGCTCAAACAACACACATGAACTGATAATACTGAATTGTATTAAAAACAGATAAGAAAAACCAGTATAACCGAGAAAATGAAGAAAAATATGATAGGGTAATTCTATCAGCCCAACCAAATGGCCCCCTCACCCAAGAATGATTCTGGCAATCTCACCTCTCTTTCGAACAGAATTTTTATCTTCCCTCCCTTCTCTCTCCTTATTCCTTATATAACTAATTCACCTTAATATCATTTCTCCCCCCTACTGCCAACACAGCATCCCTATTCTTCTGAAACGTTTCCTACAATAGCCCTTCCAAATCTTGGGTCTACTCTCAATATTTGGCACTAATTGGCCCACTTCTTCCTCATGGTTTCTATCAATATGTCTCATACATTTACAATAGGAACACTGCGGACGACCACTCCCAGTTCCACAATCACCCGTTCCATTACCTCGACCAAGACCACCATGTCCAACTAGAAAGGCAGATGATTCTGAACCAGGTTGTGTTCCAATTCCTGACATAGCCTCTGTATGAAGGAGTGAAGGACATGCAACAAACGACTAAGAAGTTCTTTTGTTGTGGGAATACTAGGATTAGTAAAAATTTGGTTCCACACACTCAAAATCCTAGTGAGGGCCATGAAGAAGCAGCATCATGGACATGTTATCAAATTTTGCTGATCATCTTGGTAAGGACATTATTAGTCAAAAGCAATTTGACTTCATCAATGGTTGACTATGCTCTATTCAGATATGATGGAAGATCTTGATTGGTAACCTAAAGAGTAAACAAATTATGAACAGCATCATAGAGACATATGTCATTTGAATATACATGTCGAGCTTTCTTCCAAATGTCATGGCACGTTTTAAGAAAGTATACCAACAACTTTGAATCAATGGATTGTCTTGCCACAAAAGAGTGACTGACTGTGCATCAGCTTTCTTCCACTGCCTACGTTCCACTTCAACAATATCATATTGCGTTTAGCTCTATTGATCAGACAAACCTTGACCAAAGAACCTGGTCCGCTTGGTAACCTAGAAACTCAAGCCACAACAGACTCTAATATTTGTACATACAAAAATCACTTGTAATGATTTGATGCACATAAAAACAAATATATAAAATTTATGAACTCAGCCTTTACTATCTCATGCTCTAGAGCTTGAGTTTGAACGAGAAACCACTCAATCCCATGTAAGATATAACTGGGTGACAATATAGGTTCCAAGTATATCTCAGGTATACAACAGTAATGGTAGGAACTCAAAGGGTAATCAAATGCAAGCAATTGGGAAAAAATTCTGATTGTTCTTACCCCCAGTGCAAAAGTCGACAATGAAGAGCTTCGAACAGTAATAAGTTCAGTAGACTGGTAATCAGAAAATAGATTTGAGCAAAACACCATGTACAACGCCATAGATGTTATGAAAATGGCATGCATAGTTGATGCAGCACTGCTCAAAGAATAAAAATCTATGAACATCTTGTATAACAAGCAACAAAAGAAGAGTTTCTCAACACAATAGAAAGATCCAGTCACCGGTTATTCCACTCAATACGTTGGATTTTGGAGAAGCTGGAATAGATCTTAAAGTAACTAGTGCCAATAAGCTGAGTAAGTTCATAAACCTGAAAAATAGGAAAGGCCGTAATTAAAGATAATGAAACCACAATAACTTTAATGTGTCTTATATGACATTCTTGTAGAAAATAGAATGACAATATATTACAATGTAGATACCATCTTGCAAGCTAAAATTCCAGTGACAACAGAAGTATACGGAATCAGAGAGTCAGCTAGTAAATATTCCTTCACGAACAAATTAGCTCGGTTTTGGTAAGATTTGAATGTCATAATATTTTCAGAAGCCAACATTGTAACACTACCCGTTGGTTGAGAAGTCTCTTAAAAAGAGTATATGCTTTTCTGCTTTCCACCTCCAGTCCCCTATTACATGAACAAATACAATTTAAAGACAAGATACTAAAAATTTAAACCCAAAAGGATACATCATGACATGGAAGTTAAAGGCAGAAATAATCTGTATAAAAGTTATCCGTATCCATGGTAAAAGACAATTGAAAAAAGGAGTGGCACATAGTTTAACAATGGATTTAGCCACCTAATAATTGTTTCAAAATATGAAAGTTTACAAAGAAAACAATTTTTTAATTTTAAAATATGGTTTCCACAAAATTCTACAAGTTTTTGATTTTTTAGCTCTGCCAGTATTGAAAATTTTATTGACAATTATATGTCTTTAATGTTCCAAAGAGACTAATCAAGTGATTAATTGTTTTACAAAAAACATGTTTTTTTCCAGAGGAAATAAGGCTTGCATAGAAAAAGCAGGATGAGGTTTCCTCATTATACAAAAACAACACAAGATATCGTAACCTAAAAAATTAGTATTAGTACCGAAGAGCTTTACAATATCCCTCAGCCTGCTTAACATGGTGATTCCCAGGAAGAAACCACCCCAAAGCTCATCAAAGAGAGGCCATGAAAACAATCTTCTCCTTGATCCTACTAGTGTGTTTACATAACAAATTTTCACCAAAAAGCTCCAAAATCTATATTCCATTTTTCAAATGTAGCTGATCACCATTGCAAAAAAAAAAAAACAGAAACAAACTAACAGCAATATCACTGATCCTCTGACCGACAGAAGCAAAGGAAAATCATTAATATCACGACATAACCAGTTATTCATTTTGAGAGGCTAGGAAGAAAAGGAGATTCTAATATGCATCTTGAAGTCAGTTGATAAACAATGGCAAATAATGGGCTACCACTAAATAACTAAAACAACAAGCATGACCAATTACCACGCTCCAAATAACTATTCCCAGAAATGAATCAACTAGTCCTCTGCATATCAGTAACTAGTAAAGTATACAAAGCTGATTATTCAAAAATAAATAAATAACAAAAAAATCTCTCACTCAAAAAAACGGAGCCACAGTAACGGAGGAAAGAAAAAACGAGAATAAATACATTACATACACATCTCAATATATCTCAAGGCAAAAAATAAATCATTCACGAAGTTTAGCATTTTAAATTATTAAAATTGTATAAAAATTACAAACAAAATTCAACCATGAAAACGCTTTAAACAACAATATTGCACTCCAATTTAAAACCTTTTTATGATTCAACAAAAAATAAAAATAAGTAACAACTAGCATCATCTAAATGTCCCAATCAACAGAACTTGAGATGTGAAATTTCTGCAGCGGGAGTAAGGATCAAACAGCGTACCAGTTATGTGCAGTGGATGAATCGAATTTATGGAAGGATGGCGATCTTATACTGCGTCGTTTTGAGATGCATTCAGAAACGCATTAATTGAATTTTGGGGGGAATTCTGGAAACCCTAGAAGGATGAACATTGTTGGATTGAGGTGCCCAACAGAATATCGTTACATAACTGCCAGAAGTTATTCCCTTCTCTCTCTCTCTCAATTTTTTTTTTTTTTTTGGAGAAGGCATTTTATTATTTCTGCACTATCCGTAATTATTGATTTACTATTTTAGAGTAAAATGACCTTTAAAGGAATGATAGGTAATTGAATATTAAAGCCAAGGTCAAGGTGGTTTTTCATTTTTAAAATTAAAATCAGTTTTAGTTTTGAGTTTCAGCTTATTTTTATTTTTAGTTTAGGTTTTACAAATTGAAGATAGATAAAATAAGTCAAGTTTTCTTTGTTATTTTGCTTCATTATAAAATCATGCTGTAAGAATATTGAGACATAAAAGTAATTATAAATAAAAATAATAATTAAATATGATAATGGTTAGTTCAAACAATAAATATATCAATCACTAAGAATAAGTTAGTTGTTGAAGGATGTAATTGAGAGTAACTAGAAATGAGAAGACTTAGATTCATCATAAATTAGAAATTTGTAATCTTTTTTATATATAAAAAATGATAAATATATCGCAATTCTTTATTAATATTATGTTTTAATTATTTCTATGCCTATATTTTTTTAAGCTCAATTCATATAGAAATCCTATGTAATTTGAAGTATTTAATATTTATGATTTATTTTCTGAATACTTTTAACATATGAAAAGCACTTTCCTACGTTTGTGAATTATTTTTTTATAATGATAAATAATAAAAAAAATTATATAATAATGAATAATTATTAAAAATACATGAATTAGAAAAGAATAAAAAAATTGAAATTTGTAAACGAGTAGTCATAAAGATAAAATTATCAAAAAAATGTGAACATTAAATGAGACAATCCCCATATTAATGGTATAGATGATGTATGAATAAATTGATACATGTTATTTTGATCCTTGTAGGATATCAAACTTGAATCTTTACGGGGATCAACAATTTAAAGAGATTAAATGCAATATTTTTAAAAGGTGTTTATTTCACGGATTACAAGTTTATTCTCAATTTATGTAAGCATGAGAATATAATATTCTCGTGTTTGTTATAAGTGGATATTATTTATATAGTTAATCATTTATACACTGCTAGTGTAAAGATTTTTTATACTGGCAATCAATCATATCTTTTAATAATGTTATGTCAGTTGATTATTTAATAAAATAATAATAAAATAAGTAACTTTAAAATATATAATTGGTTGCTAGTGTAACAAACTTTACACTGGTAGTGTATAGATAATTAACTCTTATTTATATTCAAGAAAGCTATCCTATCATATTTTTTGCACTTTTATTCTTATGTCGAGGGAGTAAGAAAATGATACTACCTTTGTTCCTATACATAAAAACAAATACCTAATTCATCAAAATTAAGGAAAGTAATTAGAATGAAAATGAATCTCACTCTAAGAGACTTCATGCTCATGCAAAGCAAGCCATATGAGCGCTCTAAGCGAGCCAACTCAGAAGATATCCCTAGAGCACTATGAAGGGCTTGAAGTGAATGTCGAAATATAATTAAGAAGGGAGTTGAATTGTTTATTTTTAAAAAAATTATATTTTAATTAGCTTCATAGAAAGCAAGTTGTATAGGTATTAATTGTTCTAATACTTAATGTATTTTATTGAAATAGTTTTTGAGTCAACTTATTTATGATTAGGAATATGCATGATATATTGATGAGTCATTATTTTTCCTTATTTATTTATCTTTCTGTACTTATTTTAATTGTTGATTTGGGCTTAATCGTTTATTAATCGTACAGTTTTACTGTTTGGGCTTCATTGGGCCAGCAATTTGAATTTAAATAATTCTGATTCACTTGGTCTAATTTTTGTTTATCAATTATTTTCAGGTTAATTGTGAAACATTTTTTGGCTTGGATATTATTTTTGGACTTCAAGAGATAAATGCCACGTTAGCACTACTTCATCACATCCACATCAGCATTTTGTTTTGTTTTATTTTTCATTTATTTCATTGTAAATTTGGGTCAAACTTGGATTGGGAGCCTATTTTGACTTTTCTAGGGTTTTTAGGACCTAGAGTAGGGACCATGCAGCCACCATCTGATGTGACCACGTTTTGAGAGCTGCTTCCCTGCATATTTTCACGTTTTTCCTCTCTATTTTTGGGGGCTTCTCCATTTACGTTTTGCTTCTTCCTTTTTCACGTTTTTCTTTCACTTCTTCCTGGTTGTATCTGAACTGCATATTTTACATTTGAATGAAGACAGACTTTTCATTTTCTTCTCTTCTACCTTGTTGTATTTGCATTTTCGTTTTAATGGAAGGCTAAAACCCTTGGGGTTGGCTCCTTGAGCAGATTGTAATCTCCATTTGAGGTCTTATTCGTATATGCATTTCTGTTACGCTTGCTTCTTCTTCATTGGACCTGTGCATTGAAACACTTTCAGCACCTGTTCATGCTTAATGCATCTGGGTTGTTGCATATATAAGGCCACAATTTGCTTAATCCCGTGGAGAGGTTCAATGTTGTATATGTTTGCTTAATTCGTGTAAGGAAGTCTTGAGTTAATCGTTGCTTAGTTGATTAATTCGGATGGAACAAGGATTAAGTTGTTAACAGAGAAATATCTGTAGTGAACCAAGGATAAGAGAGTTACAGATCTGAACAAGGAGTCAATCTGTTTCATTTGCTGTGCTACCTGCGTTTTATTGTGTTTTAAACTGAAAAACCTGAACCAAACCCCCCCTTCGTGTTTGAACCTTTGACAGAGAAAAATGGTCCTTGGGAGATGACCTAGGAAAGCTTCCTAGTATTACATTTAACTATTTTTATTTGACCGGGTACGGCCTCGATCATATATCAATAAGAGAAGTAAGCTAAATAAGCAAGTAGAGAGATAAGGAAAGAAATAAAGGGCACAAAGATTTATACTGGTTCACTCCAACTAGGCTACATCCAATTCCCACACAACCTTGTGGCATTTTTTCACTAAACTCACAGTCAACTACTGCAAAAAATTCAGTCACTTGTTGATACATCCATTACTTCATAGCCACCTACTATTAACACCAACACTTAGCTACTTGTTGAGAAACTTCATTCAACCACCTATTGAGAAAAATAGCCTCAAAGCCACCTACTATGAGACTAGACACAACACCTTTTATAATTTAATTTTCTTTTCTTTCTTACAACACTACACACTCTTAATACTGGCTAGGAAATGTTTACAAGAAAAAAATTCCTTGTGTTCTTATAAAGAGTTAAGATCACAAGTCAATCTCCTACGATGGAGCTTCCACTACGGTAGATATCTCACTTTTTTCTATTAAAAAATAGAATTACAAGTATGAAGTGGATTTCTTTGAAAGATCAGTGGATGAAGTAACAAAGACTATATCTTGTTGAGTTTGAGTGATTTTTTTTTCTTTTATCTTTATTACTTTAAAATGTGACCAATGTTTTCCTTTTATAGACACCCAACAAATAGATCCGTTAGAGCTTGCTCTATTGTTCATGTTTGATGCTGACATCACTATTTATTTATTGTATCAGTCAGTCTTTACAAATGAGATGTCTTCTAAACAACTTTTAAGATCAAGTCTTATGAACCAAGTCTTTAAGACAAGTCTTATAAGAAGAAATGTTTAATTTAAAGTCTTCTATTTCGCAACTTGCGATGGACATTATCATTGGTACTAATTATCATTCCTTAAATTATACTTAATTTCTTATCAAGGTGTCATAAGGACGATCTTGTGAATCTTTTATTTTATTCAAGAAGCATATCATAACATATAGCCTTTTGATTAGTCTTATTAACTTTTGTTGAGACACTTGAACACAAATATTAGCACACACATGGGTACTCTTCTTTCTAAATTTGAGACTAAGAATTTGTCATTATTAAAATCAAGATAAGGCAAGATTGAACAAGGCTCACTCAAGTGAATTATCTAAGTGCTTGAAGTGAGTGGACATCACAAGCCCAATTGGAAAAGACTCATTTAAAATATTATAAAAATAGGGTTTGGAGATAATAGAAAAATACTCAACATATTGTATATTTTAGTAGGTTTGAAAGATTAAAAGGAGTTGTTGTTGTAGATTGAGGTAGCTACCTTACTCCATGTAATTCTTCCTATTTTTATTTAATTGATGTTTTTATTCAATTAATTGTTGTTTTCTTCTTCTCTTAATGTGTGCTTTAGCTTGGTCACTCTTTACATGATCCCATAGATTTCATTGAGGTTGGAAAACCCTTTTAAAACTATGATCTAGAGAATAACACTAATAATGTTTATTACTAGGAATAAGATAAGTTTTATTAGTCAGTATTTTACACCTTTGATCTTAATGCGGGTTTCTTAACAAACTTCATCAAGGAATTAATATTTTCCTTAAGGAACCTATAATTTCTCAACTAAGAAATTAGGGTTAAAATATTTTCTCACCTATGTTGAGTCTTGTAAATAGGAAAAATGGTAATATATTCATGGAAATATTGGTAGTAATGTTTTAACACACTTGCAACTTCTCTTTTTAATTCTTTTTTTTTTATTATTTAAATTACATTCAATTTTAAAAAAATATTTCAAGGAATATTAGAATGCAACCAAACATGTTTTCTAAATATACCTTGAAACAAACACCCTAAAAAAAAGGCTTTTTGCACTATAAGACAAACTTGTCTCCAAAAGGCTCTATCACTCTACAAAAGAAGTCAACCTCCTATCAAAATCTCTAAAAGTTGTTTCTTCTCTAATCAAGTAAGGATAAATTTATTCTTTTATCAAACAAGAAGTAATCTAATAATATGGAATATTAAATTCATGTAATCAAGTTGTTAACCAGCAAGGTTTTGAATATGACAAATATAATACATATTGTTATTACTAACCTGTGAAGTAGTGTTTCAGATATTTATAAGAATAGGCAAAACTAAAGCATATAGCATGATTGAGTAAAACAAAGATCGAACAAATCAAGCTAAATGAAAGAAGGATCATGACTTGCGCACCAGACAACAACGAATACCAAACAAAGATATGCTAAGAATAATCCAGAGCGCAATATAAGAAATTAGAAACAAGAGCAAAATAA